TCTAAAAATTTTACCTAAAAGAGAACATAGCACAATTTAGATATATGTGAAACAGTGAACATACTTTTATACATGAAAATTATATTAATAAATAAGTAAAAAATGATCTTGTTGGTTTATTTTAAATATTTCAGCTGTTCGAAAACAGCAACATATTTCTTAACCAAGCACGCTACAGACAAAATAGCAAGTATATTAATCTTATCCAGTAGCTATCTGGCCTGTATCATTTTCTGTGTAACATTCCCTGAATGGTTAAAAACTGGGGGGAAAGTATTGGCATCACTGATTCAATGGCTAATAAGATAAAGAAAAACATTAACTATCAGGTGTGAATTTTATTCACTGTTTTTAATCTCCGAAAATACAGGATTTTGTTCTATCCTTTTTCAGAGATTAGAGAAAAAGAAGTCAATAACTTTCTCCTCCCTTTTACAGTGAAGCATAATGACATTTTTGTCAAAGATGAACTACATATATGATGGTAGTCCCATAAGATTATAATGGAGCTGAAAAATTTCTATCACTTAGTATTTACTATACTCTCCTTTTTATTAATATTTTTGAGTGTAGTCCTTCTATTTATAAAAGAAAAAGTTAACTGTAAAACAGCCTCAGGCAGGATCTTCAGGAGGTATTCCAGAAGAAGGCGTTGTTATCATTGGATGTGATAGCTCCATACATGTTATTGCTCCTGTAAGACCTTCTAGTAGGACAATGCAGAAGTGTAAGACAGTGATGTTGATGACTCTGCCCCTGTGTTTGCCTAGACTAATATGGGTGTTTGTGTCTTTGTTTTTAACCAAAAAAAAAAAAAAATTAAAAAGTTAAAAAAATAATTTTAAAAATAGTAAAAAGCTTATAGAATAAGGATACAAAGAAAGAAAATACTTTTGTACAATGGGACAATGTGTTTGTGTTTTAAGTGAGTTATTACAAAAGAATCAGAAAGGTAAAAAATAAAAGTTTTTAAAGTAAAAAAGTTACAACAAGCTAAGGTTAATTTATTAGTGAACTAAGAAATTTTTTTTATAAATTTAGTGTAGCCTAAGTGTACAGTGTTTATAAAGTCTGCAGTAGTGTACAGTAAGTAGTATCCTAGGCCTTCACATTCACTCACCACTGACTCACTCAGAGCAATTTTTAGTCCTGTAAACTCCATTCATGATAAATACCCTATACAGGTATACCATATTTTAACTTTTACACTATGTTTTTACTGTACCTTTTCTATGCTTAGATAATTTTATATACACAAATACTTACTATTCTTTTATAGTTTCCCACAATATTTAGTACAATAACATGCTATATAGGTTTGTATGTGTCGTCTTATTTAATACAACACCCCCATAAGAGTGGGTATTACATAGGAAAACTGAGATGCAGAAATGTTATACAATTCCTCCAAGGTCCCAGGCTCAATAAGTAATGGAACCTGGATATCAACCTAGATTTATCTACTCCTGATACTCTGTTTCTGCTAAAACTAACCACTGTTTGTGAATTTTGTCTAGCTTTTTCACTAAATTCTTTAACATATTTATAATAGTCATTTCATTGTCTAATGAGTCTAATATTTGGTTAATGTGTCAGTCTGTTTCTCTTTTGTTTGGGCTTTTTTCTCGATTATAGGTCGTATTTTTTCATTTTTGACATTTTTTAAGATAATTTATGGTAGACATGGAATAAAAAAGAACAGTAGAAACTGAATAAATACCATTTACTCCAGAAAAAGCCACACCGCTTTCTCTGTCTGATAACTAGTCTGGGGTATTTATTCTTCTCAATCTCATTTCCAGTTGAGGTTAATCTGGTCTGAGTTGCATTTTATTTCAGTTTGCTACTTGATTCAGATGCTTTCAGAGCATGATTAGAACTCTTCTTTCCTGAGGGCTTGGGATCTAAGGTCCAGTGAGTCTAGAGATCTTCACCCCCACACCAACTTCACCTTACAGACAGTCCTGCCACCAGTGTTTTGTTCCTCTTCAGGGGCTTACTGCTGTCAGTCTTTCCCCATTTCTCCAAGCTTTGGACTGAGTCCTCTTCTCAGTCCTCCTGCCCTGTCCTATGGCTTTGGTACAGTGAAAGCTCAGTAGAAAAAACTTTATGGACAGATGTTCCAAGGGGATCTCTCAATCTCTCCTACCCTGGCTCCAGCCTTCTGCATGTAGCTACTCTTTGCCTTGGTTAAGGCTCTGTGGGAAAGAATTGGCAAGCTATACAGACTTTTGGGGTCTCCTTGGGGTTCTAATAATTCATCACAGACGTCCACAGATGGCCATAAGTTTGACTGCTTTCTACATACCATAATATAAGCCCTCCCACCTAGGAAAGTTTGATTCTCCTTCTCTGTTACCCCACTAGGAAAGTGGTTGTGGAGCTTCACTCACCTAGGAAAGGCTCATCCAACCTGCAATTTAGTTTATCAAGGTGTCTTAGGTCTCTCTATTTAAAACAAAAAGCATGATTTTATAGCCTATCTGGTATATTTTTATTGTTATAGTAATAATAACTATTTCTACTTTTCATGTACTAACTAAAAATGTTAAATATATTTTAATCATTTAAAGAATAAAGAATATGGTGATGTTCCTGTCCTTGGCCATAAGGCTCTCCCTATACATCTCTTGATCTCATCAAATATTCTGGCTTTAAATATTATATACCCATATACCAATAACTTAAGGAATAGACAATATTAAAAATGTGTTTATTTTTCAATATAGATTATAATTTTACATGCTTATATTATGGAAAGAATCACGAAAACTCAGTGAGAAGCTAAACTTTAAAAAAGTTTAGAGTTTACAGGGGTCACAAAAGACATCATAAGGATGCAGTCAGATTACTTCTTGGTTCCTCAGCCTCAGAAACCACTGAGCTCCTTATCTAGATTTCTTGGTTTGAAATCTCTGTTTCCGTACTGATGAATCAGTAATAGAAGGGGAAAGAGACTGTGCATATTCGTTTATAGTGATACCATCACTGTCACTTAATTATTTGGGGCATTGAAATATGGGGTGTAGTATATTTGGTAGGCTTCAAAAGACCAAGGACATTATCTTGTTAACTTTTGTATCTTCATCATCTAGCAAGGTCTGACTAACAATCATTGTTAAATAAATATTTGTTGAATAACTGATTAAATTAATGAATGTTATAAAAATATTTTATGTAAACTGAAAATATTACTGGGTACATCCAGATTTTAGTAAGTCCCCTCCTGAATATAATCATCCTTTATAATCATAATATGTTGGTTTAACATTGCAGCTTACATTATTTTTATTAGGAACTAACAGAATCACTTCTGCAGAATAACAGCCATGCTGAATTTAATAAAAAATTCAGTTTTTCTTTGATGGTGGATTACAGAAATTATGCAGATCTTCAATAAAACATTTTCTAATAAAAGGATGCTAATAATTGATAAGATATACTCCTCACCTGATGAGACTGGCTATAAGTCATAGAAGTGTTATTAGAAGATTCATTTGGTAGAAAGTTGTTGGAATAGGTGATCAGCAAAGCATAGAAAGGGCTAGGCATTATTAGCTGGTAGAACAAAGAAACACCCCTGAAATCCATATCCTGTTATTATCCCTGTTTTTATTGCAAAGCAGATTTTAATTTAGGTTACTATGGTAAAGTAGTCTGTTCCTATTATCTGCTTCTTTTAGAATCAACTCTCATAATTTGGTTTTGCATCAGAATCATCTCTACCTCATGACCCAATGTGGTGAAAATGTATCTACTTTGTTCTTGTGACCACTTAATGAAAAACGCCCTGTTTTCATTCCTTCACTTTTCTTGCTGTCTGGCTTTACAGTGTCATTCACTGATCCTTTACTGATCCATTACTACTGACCTTACCTTTGGAGGGAGCAGTAGAATTCTCCTAGGTTCATGTTTTAAATCCCTAAGAGCACACAGTCAATAATTGAAATTTAATAGGTTCGGAATGGTTGTGCAACCACAAAAATCACCAAATAAATAAATGATAATTGTGCAGGTAAAACTGAAGGTGTAGGCCATAGTCCCAGCACTGGCAGTGACAGAGCATCAGAGGTTTCACTTCTCTTTAGTCTATGAGGACTTTGTGCTAGGAGACACCATAAACAGGGAAAGCTGTGACATTCTGAATGAAGGAGATGAAATCGCATTGATAAAGTCTCGACAAATGAGCCAAACAGTTCACATCTGTGACAGCCAGTGAGGATGCTCCCCATCCCTGATGCCAACCAGGTACCAGCCAATTAGATTTCTTTACTCTCAATATCAGCATCATTTGAATAGTGTGGCTTATATTTAATGCAAATCAATAGATTTTTTTGTTTCTTTGGTTGCTTGTTTTGTTTTTTTTAATTTCAGATTTGATTAGACCATTTTATAAGCTATCACAATCTTTCTTGGAGTTAAACCTTTTTAAGGCTTGTCTGCAGTTTTGGAACTTCACTAGTTATCAGTACCCTTGGAACTTTCCTAATAAAAACAGCCTCAAACATAATAACCATATATGTGACTTCTTTTTATTCACAAGCCATCTCTATGGGCCTGAGAAATTCTCTAAACACAATATAATTTTTCCCGTCCACATAAAGGTCAAACAATAGGGGTAGCTCAGTTTGGCTGTATCTATTGTCATTTTCTACATAATGACTTAGCCTCTCTTTGAATCTATAGCTCGTATCATTCCCAAAATTTACAGTAATCTTTAAGTTTTGACATGATAAACAAAAATGTTGGTCTTTTACACCTTTTTTTTTTGTAAGAGTTTTGAGATTATTAGAAATCTTATGCCTTATAATAATGTTTTTGGAATGACTGTAAGCACATATTTTAACCAGAAATATAATTATTTTACTATAGCTTACAAACTATTTTGGAATTAAACTTTCTTATATGGATTTTTTTAGAACAAGATAATATAGGTTAAATGAGTAATTTTGCTGTCTGATTTTGTTTCCTTTTCCTTTTTTGTTTTTTCCTATTTTCAGCTTTCTAAGAAGTATGGAGTCCATGTTTGTGGAGAAGGTGGAGAATATGAAACATTCACTTTGGATTGCCCTCTATTTAAGAAGAAAATAATTGTGTAAGATATCATTTCAGCATTTTCTTGCCTTTCCTTAAATTTAAGTGATGGAAGCAACTTAACATTAAGCTTGAGGCAACTTTTGTTGGGAGAAATAGAACATGTCCTCTAAGTTCACAAACACTCAATTTGTTTAATACCAGTGAAGTCGTCTGAATACTTAAATCAATACCTGACAAGACGAGGCCTTCATAGAAGGCTATAAACTTTTTAGACATTGCACTTTCGTTTACTTGCTGATTATGGCCTGCAGTAAAACTGGTACCTACACACTGACACTTTTATCCTTTCATGAAGTGTGAATTGCCTGTATTATTTATCTTTCATTACAGCTACATTTGATAAACTGCCACATCAGTAGCCTGTGGGTTCCATTAACTCCATCCTCTTTTTCCTTTTTCTTGGCTTTAACAACTTAGAATGGTGATGCTAAACATTTCTCTTCACTTATTTAGGGTTATTATTACATATAAACTTTGTTTTTAAATGAATTCAGTTCATGATGAGTAGTGTGATTTCTTTGCCATAAATTGTTAAAATTAGTGTAGTGAAAAACAGGAACTTTCTTCAGTTTGTTACATTATTACCGATGCTCTAATTTATGTTGCTCTTCTTGTATACTAAGAGAGCACTTTATCTGCTTTTTCTAAATTCTTAGGCTTCTTGAAAAAGATTGTCAGAATTATGCTTGATTGAATGGACAGCTTCAATATTTTTAGCACTAAGACTTGACTTCTTTGTACATATTATTAATGAGGGAACGAGTAATAAAAATTAAGACAGCTCTAGGTGGATGTTCTAAAAAATACATTTATTTAGTGAAACATGGCAAGACATTTTCATTACCATATACAATATTTATGTACTCTTCTTTCATATTCTTCTAACCTCTTTTCCAGTAATAATAAACATAATGGTAATTTATTTGACAAATATTTACCAAATACCTATTATGTCCAAAGCATTCTACTGGGGACCATTGATGTTCAAAGTTAGTTTCTGTTTTCAAAGGGGTAGGAGGAAGACACATCTGTGTATAATTATAACACAAGGTAGTAAAGGATAAAAGTCCTAAGATTATAGATGGGAGATATTTCTTCTGGCCATTATGATCACAAAACGATTCATGAATGAAATATTCATGGAGTATTACTTCTATGAAATAATATATTTTGATATTCAAGGAAAACATCTGCATGTTAGGGTGAAATTATAGTATAATGGAAAACTATTAATATGGGACTACCAAATTAGAAAAAAAGCATAAAAATAAAAGGAAAAGATGTCAAAGAATAATACTTTTCCTGTTTACCTGACAAGTTGAAGTCCTAGAGCACCTAGAAGTCTTTATGGACAACCTAGAATTATAAGACATTTACTGCTTTATACTATATAACCAGAAGGTCTATCATAGTACTTTAGACCTGGAAAATGAATTCTTTTCCTCAATTTTTTGTAGACAGGGAAGCCTAAGTCTGACAGAGACAATGGCATGAGAGGAATCAGTTATCCTGTTAAAGAGAAGGTGTCAGGGAAGGTGTATTAGAACCCTATAGTGCCAAAATGAGCTTTTCAGGGCAACTGAATAATCATTTATTGAGGCAGATTATATAGGTGGAACCCTGCAAATTGCTGTCCTGCTCTGTAGGAGTTCTTCCTATAACAGAAGAGATGGGCAGGCAAATCAACAATACATGATAACTGCTACCATATGGATGTGTACCTTGAGAACACAAAGGAAGCACTGCCTCTTCATTGTTACTCATTTATCAGTTAATCACCAATCTAATTCTGATGCTTAAGCATATTCTTTGCTTTTTTTTCTTCGTAAGCTATGCCGCACTTCAGCTTCATAACTTCTTATTTAATACATTTTCTGTAGATTGTCTTGCCATTTCTTCTCACTTTGCTAAATCCTTCCATATTTAAAGGCTTTGGCTGCCATCACCTGTAGTGCTAGGTCTCATACCTGGACACTCAGAACATAGAGTAGCCACTAATACTTGTGTGTTAAATATCATTGAATTAATTTGTCATTCATTGTTTATTATTTTTTATTTATTATATCCTGTTTCACTTTTATGTATTCCTTTCTTGGGTTATAAATAAAGGTTATAAGTTAGGAAAAATCCCAGTTTAGTGGAAAAAGATTTCACTTAATATATACAAAATCTTTCCTCCTCCTTAAAATAGATATGTGGTTATCAAACCTGCCTAATATACACTAAATGTTGTGATGTGAGTAAACGTGCATTGTGTATTCTAAAACTGTATGTAAGTGAAAGTCATTTTATTTAGAGATAATCTTCCATATGATACAATGTAAATTTAGTCCCTATAACTATTTTTTAACAATTGGCCATTAATAATACTAGATCCTGTAATTTAGAATTCATTTTGGGGACAAATTGAACAAATTCTGTTACGTTTGCTATAATAGTGGTCTGCCACAATTAGCATACAACTAATCATTTTTTAGGAATCCTGTTTAAAATGTCTGATTCAAATGACATCTGTTTTGATTAAAAAAAGAAAAAGATAATTTCTAAGGGGAGAAAAAATAAAGTGTTACATGTAAAATTATTTGATTATAATTAGATTTTTTAAAAACACAATTGAATTCTTTTTGTATAATGAAGTAATTCAAAGTGATGGGGTGGTTCTAGAAGTTTATTATGAGATACATTTTGCCCAAATTCCAACTGACATTTTAAAACTACTGTAGGAAAGACCAATATAACAGTTTTATCTGTAAATAATTTTAAAAATTTCTATCTAGAACATTTTACAATTTGATTTTCATGTCAATTAGTATGTGAAGTCACTCACATCTAGAAACAAATTTCAAAATCAGAAAATGAATTTTTTCATGAGGAGCCCTCATGAAAAGAATTATATTATATATATTCTTAAAAGCTTAGCTTTTATGAAAAGAGGACAATTGTAGGTCCTCAAAAAACCTACTTTCTCATTACTTATTATCTTTATATATATTTATATTTATATATCTCAGAATTGAAAACTAAAATCCTAAAGTTGTATTAATGAAAGCAATCATTTTCTTCTCTCTGTTAATGCACACATTTTTTTCAGTGTCAGTATTTGATATCTTGTATTTCTATTTGAATTGTCAATATTACTCTACTACTGCTACAAAGTTGCTACGTGTGGACTAGATGGATGGATGAAAGAATAGAATGAAGAAAGGAAGAAAGGAAAGACTAAATTCTATGGTTAAAACACTGTATACTGATTTTCCACTTCCCCCTGCTACTCATGTCTTCTACCCACTCAAGGCATGACTCAGTATTAAACATGGTAATGTGATATTTCAAAGTGAGGATAAGGCCAGTACTTTACCTTATTTGCCTTCTCATATGGATTCCATGTCACCTGGGATTTTATTTAAATTTATGCACTATTTTCCTGATATTTAAATTTTCAAACCTACTAGCATTTATTTTTATTATGCTAGAGATGTTATATGATATTATTGGTACATGTGTGTGTATATATGAATATGTTTATATACAATATGCATGTATGAGAAAGTATTTACAGTCATGTATCACTTAATGACAGGGATATGTCCTGAGAAATGTGTCATTAGGTGATTTTGTCTTTGTGCAAACATCTTGGAATGTGCTTACACAAACCTAGATGGTAGACGACTATATACCCAGGCTATATGGTATAGCTTATTGCTCCTAGGCTACAAACCTGTACAGCATGTTATTGTACTGAATACTTGAGACAACTGGAATACAATGGTAAATATTTGTGTATCTAAACATAGAAAATGGACAGTAAAATATGATATAAAAGATAAGAAATGGTATACCTATATAGGGCACTTACCATGAATGGAGCTTGCAAGACTGAAAATTGTCCTGGGTGAGTCAGTGAGTGAGTGGCTATATGGTTATTTATTCAACAAATGTCTAAGGAATACCAGGCAATGTACTCTGTACTGAGCCAGGGGTAGGGTGGAACAGGGTCAGACAAAGATGAACAAAACTGCTCCCTCCCTCAGAAGGAAGACAAGTGCACAAATACATAATTATAACATAGTGGACATGTTGTGAAAAGGCTATAAACATAGCACTAAAATACATAAAGGAGAAAACTAGCACTGTGTGATGCTGTTAGAGAAGGCTTTATGGAAATAACATTTGAGATGTCTGTGAGGATAAGTGTGAGTCCACAGGGAATATCTGTGTACATTTTAATGAAACAGACGCCATATGTTTGAGCAAGAGAGGTAAACAGTGCTTTGGCCCCAAGCTAGCACAGTTGTCTTTTTACTGGAGAGGGGGGAACAAAGACCATGGCTGAGTTTCAAAAGATAATACCAAGGTGTTTTTTTTTCTTTTGAGGTGAGAGGTAGAGCCTGACCCCACACCTCAGGAGCTTGGTATCAGGGAAGAAAGGCTCAGGCCAGACTCAGCTGCCCTTTTGATGTTGTAAGTAGGAGTGAGCCTAACACAGCAATGAAAGGGAACATGGGTGAATTTGTGGCTGTGGAAAAGCCTCAGCTGTATGAGAGGTCATGTGATGACCATCACACGGATTACTTGTATTAATAAGGAAAGTGGAGGAGGACAGCCAACTGAAAACCCTTTTGCTGTGGCACAACTGGTCTTAATTTTCTGGGTTAATCTGAGAATATTCTGACAGATTCTCCTTTTAAGATTCAGAGAAATCCATGAAGCAGACAGAAATCAGAGATCTTTGAAAGTTGGGTGTCAGGTGATAGTCTATAAAAGAGAGAAGAGCAATAGTGGCATTATTTTGTTTGAAACTAAATACTGTTCATTTGCAATCTAGTCTCTCCCAGTTGACTCTTGCTTTATATAGTGAATGAAATGATGTCAGTTATGGATTTAATATAATCCATAAAAATCACAGTCGTCTTCATTTAGTGCTCAGAATGTTATATATTCTCTCTAGATAACAATCTTGATTCAGAGTACAGTAATTACATCAATTAAGTAAATTATTTGCTGTCATCCTTCTGTTTCTACTGGAAATAACTAACCTAAGAAAGGAGAACCTGAAGTCCATTCTGCAGAGATAGTATTGGTTCAGGTTAGTTATAGTTTTGGTGGACCCCATTGTCAAGAATATCAAAACCAAGCTGCCTAGATTAAGCATAATTAAGGCTCAAGGCCAGTTTCCAAGGCCAAGGTCAGGAACAGAGAGATGAAAATTTAATATATGAGTGAGATCATAAACAGCAATTGAGGTTTAAATCTGATTAAGGAGCCAAGATAGGACCAGAGCAGGCAGCTCTGGAGGAAATGGAGAAACAGTAAGGTTAAGGCTAACAAACCAAGTGGGGGCCGAGCAAGAGGGGCAGTTGGTAGCAAGCAAGATCTCCTCCTCTGTACTTTCTCTTTCCTCTTCATCATCATACCTAGAGACATCTTTTGGTTTATGTAGCCTGTGAAGGCAAGATATATCATTCTTTCCACCAGGATCCCGACTCTTTAATGATTCTGTTTCTGTTACAGTATAAGTTGCTTTCCTTTTAATGTCATAGAAATCCCTTTTAATGTTATTTTTCCTAAGCATTAGCAAGATGCATATTTTATACTAAAGGTTCATGAATGATAATTTGTTTTTTTTAAATCATCAAACATACTTTTTTCTTGATCTTGAATCTTTCAAGTGGAAAGTAAACATATTTTTGCTTATGAAAATTTAATATTTTAGAACCAAATATTTTGAGGTGTCTTCTGTTGCTGCTGAGTAACTTTGCATCACAAAAGTGAATCAAGAAGGTTTTTAGATTTGCATCACAAAAGTGAATCAAGAAGGTTTTTAGATTAGTGGGAAAGAGTCAAAGTAAGGATTTGTTTTTCCCTACTACAATGGTCAAAATCCTAATAATCTATTAACAATGGAACTACTTCCCAAGGCATTTAAGAGAAATGAGGAATTTCTATTTTTAAATTTTTAGTTGAAATGCAAAACATTATTGCTCTCTTAATAAACAATAAAAAATAATTAGTTATTAGAACTTCACACATAATCTTAGTTATTCATATGTGCTTTACAGGGTATCTTTGATAAAAGTTGAGTTAATTTACATGTATCCATATGGTGCCAGCAAGCAGTTCATACCATTTTACCTGAATATGGTAATTACTATGTCAGACAATCAATTTTAATAGCAATGATATTTCAGTGTTAAGAGTTCATCTAGAGCTTAAAAACCATCACCAGTACTTCTTTTGTGAAGGATAATTGAGATTTTGTGTGAAACACTGAATGAATTACCTCTTGAAAATGAAAATAATAATGAAGATAAAGCACTAATGTTTAATGCTTAGCCCATACTAAGAAAATTTGCAAAAATGAAATCGAACAGGATTTTAAGTCTCAAAAATTTTTGGAGAGTTTTGAGAGAACCTAAAAGTTGAACTGTGTGTCCAAGTAAAGATGAAAAGCTTCATTGTTTTTTCTTAAAGGATAATATTCTCAATCCTTTTTCCAATTACATATTGAATTATTGATATATATATTAATCACAACATGTTGTATACCAGTGGAAATAAATACAAAACAAGAATTTTTGGTATTTTCTAGTCAGTAGCAGGAGTGATTTGCCATAGCTTATATAGTAAATAAATGCATTATAAAATTTTTGTATTTTAGGGATTCATCAGAAGTAGTCATACATTCAGCTGATGCATTTGCACCTGTGGCTTATCTACGCTTTTTAGAATTGCACTTGGAGGACAAGGCAAGTAAATTCTAAGATTGTTATTTCATTAGAAAATTGAGATATATGCACTGACTCTATAGATATAATTCTATAACAAAAGATAACAGTATAAAGAAAATTGATTCTAGCATTGGTGATTTTTTTTTCAGTTACTCAGTTAATAACTAAGAATTTTACAGATTTTTATAGTTTTGAGAGCTCTGTATGCTGCTAAAGATATTACATTTCTAAAGGGTCCATAGATCAATTAAAAAGGGAATAATATATACATTAAAAATTAAAAGACAAGACAATATAAAGCCAAATATTAAATCATCTGGCAAGATAAGAATTAGGTTATTGTATATAAGTATTAGGGGAAAGGTTTGAGGATGAACTGGATCTTCATTATACCTAAACCGAAAGGAAAAGGAGAAATAAAACCTTTCCAAAAATATCCATGAAAACAGAAGCACAAGTAAAAGATAGAAAGTGAGATAGAAGTGCAATAAGGAGTTTTATTTTAAATACATTGATTGTCAAGTTACAGCAGAATTTCTATTTAAAGATGCCTTGTGGAGTAAAGATATAGATTAGATCCTTCAATCAAAAGGTCTGGACCTTGAGATGTTGCTTTATATTTATCACCATAGAAATGAGAACCGAAACTATGTGAGGAAATGAGAGTAGTGACAGGAAAAGAATTGGAAAAAGTCTCCTGTATCTTCAGTATTCTTTCCCCAAGTCTTGAGGCACACCCATAGATATATATACTACATGATCGGGAATCTAAAGGATTAAGAGGATTAACGAGAATTCAGCAAGGCAGGAAAAGAATGGTAGTGCCAGAAATCTCAGAAAGAGACACAAGTAAAGAATAGTTACTGCTGTCAGTCCTTCAGAAAAATGATAGACAGGATTGAAAATAGGTCGTTGATTTGGGCTGGATGATAACTGTCGGTGACCTTTTACCAAAATTCTGGTAACCCTCAAGAGAATGAAGTTATACTACCCAAACAACTTTCAGATTCAACTTTACTTCTAGGTCTCTGCAACTTTTGCCACTCTGTAAACACACAAAGAACAAAAACCACCAGATTTTTGTTTGGACACATGTCACCTTGTTGTTTTGGTATTTCAGTGGTCTTCATGGTCTATTTGTGCTATTGCAGATAGCAGTATTACTTCTTTAAAGTGGGATATTCACTGACACTAAATAATTTTGGTGCATTTTCTTTCTTTCTCTCTTTTTTAGGTGTCCCCAGTGCCTGACAACTACAGAACATCTAATTATATTCATAATTCTTGAAAAGCATTTTTGAACATTGTTTTCACTAAGCTGCCATTTCTACACAAAGAAATTACATAGTATTTTCTCAGTTATTATGATTGGTTTTTTCTCATTACCTTTTCTTTATTTCTTAGAAAAGCATACCTTAATCAAAAGAAGTTAATAGAACCATTTATTAATTGGTAAAATGTCAATGGCTTATTCATTATTATTGCCAACTTCCTCAGGATTCACTCTTTCTTTTTTGTTAGCACATCCTCCCAATAACCTTTGTGTGATATGTGCCCCTTATTTTTTCTTTTACTTCATCTGTAACCCTCATTCTGTAACATTTCTTTTCTTTCATCACACTAGCTTCTTTTCCTCCTTCTCTCTTTCTTATTCCCATCTCTGCCAATAATGCCATGATACAGAGGCATTTGAAAATGAAGATGAAAATGTGGTCACTTTACTTAGCCAATCAAACTTATTCTACTGGATGTCACCAAAGTAATTTATCATTTTTGTTTTGAATATATTTATGTTTCAAGAGTTTCAAAATTATTGCACAATCAAGAAAAATGTCATTAACTCTCACTTATTACTTTATAACTGATTTTAAAAATGTAATTTTTCTGCTCAAGATCAGGAGTTCAAAACCAGCCTGAGCAAGAGCGAGACCCCGTCTCTACTATAAATAGAAAGAAACTAATTGGCCAACTGATATATATATAAAAAATTAGCCGGGCATGGTGGCGCATGCCTGTAGTCCCAGCTACTCGGGAGGCTGAGACAGAAGGATCGCTCGAGCCCAGGAGTTTGAGGTTGCTGTGAGCTAGGCTGACGCCACGGCACTCACTCTAGCCTGGGCAACAAATCGAGACTCTGTCTCAAAAAAAAAAAAAAAAAATGTAATTTTTCAGTATTACTGCATTGACCTTAGAAAACTAAAAAAAAATAGACTTTATTTTTTTAGAAGAGTTTTAGGTTCACAGAAAAATAGAGCAGAAAATACAGAATTCTCATACACCCTCTGCCTCCACTCATCTTCCCCCACTATGAATATCCAGCAACAGACTGGTACATTTGTTACAACTGATGAACCTACATTGACAGACCGTTATAACTCTAAGTCCACAATTTACTTTAGGGTTTACTCTTGGTGTTGTACATTTTATGGGTTTTCACAAATGTATAATGACATGTATCCACTATTATTGTATTATATAGAATAGTTCACTGCCTTACAAATTCTTTGTGTTCACCTATTCATCCTTCCCTCTCTTCTAACCCCTAGTAACCACTGATCTTTTTACTGGTCATAGTTTTGTTTTTTCAGAAAGTCATGTAAATTGAAATCATACAGTATGTAGCCATTTCAGATTGGCTTATTTCACTCATTAATATGCCTTTACATTCCACCATTTCTTGTGATGGATTGATAGCTCATTTCTTTCTAGTGCTGAGTAATATTCCATGTCTCAATATATTCATTTATCAATGCCCTACTAAAGGACATCTTGGTTCCTTCTACATTTTGGCAATTATGAATAAAGCTGCTATAAACATCCATGTGCAGGTTTTTGTGTGAACGTAAGTTTTCAATTCATTTGTGTAAATGCCAAGGAGCACAATTTCGTTTTGCAAGAAACTGCCTTCCAAAATAGCTGTAATATTTTGTATTCCCACCTGCAACAAATGAGAGTTTCTGTTGTTACATACCCATCAATGCTGAGTGTTGTGTTTTAGACTTTTGCCATACTAGTAGGTTTGAAGTGTTATCTCGTTGTGTTAGTTTGCAATTCCCTAATTATATATGATGTTGAGCATCTTTTAATATCTTGGGGTTTTTTTGCCATCTTTATATCTTCCTTTGTGACGTGTCTCTTCAGAGAGAGCCCATTTTTATTTTTATTTTTTTAATTTTTTATTTCAGAGTATTACAGGGGTATAAACACTTTGATTACATAAATTGTCTTTGCACCACCCAGTAAGCATGCCCATCCTCCAGACGGCATGCACCACCTCCATTAGGTGTGGATTTATGCATCCCTTCATTCCCCCTCCCATCTGCCTGACACCCTATGAATGTTACTTCCCGTATGTGCACATTAGTGTTGATCAATTATTACCAATTTAATGGTGAGTACATGTAGTGTTTGTTTTTTCATTCTTGTGATACTTCACTTAGATACAGGGGTCCTCAAACTTTCTAAACAGGGGGCCAGTTCACTGTCCCTCAGACCATTGGAGGGCCAGACTATAGTTTTAAAAAAAACTTTGAACAAATTCCTATGCACACTGCACATATCTTATTTTGAAGTAAAAAACAACGGGCACGTAACCCACGGGCCATAGTTTGAGGATGCCTGATAGAAGAATGGGCTCTAGCTCCCTCCAGGATCATACAAGAGGTAATTCATCATTTTTTATGGCTGAATAGTACTCCATGGTATACTATACCACATTTTGATAATCCACTCAAGTATTGATGGGCACTTGCGTTGTTTCCACATCTTTGCAATTGTGAATTGTGCTGCTATAAACATTTAAGTGCAGATATCTCTTTTATAGAATGTCTTTTTTTCCTTTGGGTAAATACCCAGGAGTGGGATTGCTGGATCAAGTGGTAATTCTACCTTTTGTTCTTTGAGGTGTCTCCATAGTATTTTCCATAGAAGTTGTACTAGTTTGTAGTCCCACAAGCAGCGTATGAGTGTTCCTGTCTCTCTGCATCCATGCCAACATTTGTTGTTTGGGGACATTTTTTCTTCTTTTGTGAGACAGAGTCTTACCCTGTCACCTGGGCTATAGTGCCATGGTGTCAGCATAGCTCACCTAGCAACCTCAAACTCCTGACCTCAAGTGATCCTCTCACCTCAACCTCCCAGCGTGCTAGGATTACAGGTGTGAGCCACCATACCCAGCCTATTTTGAGACTTTTGATAAAAGCCATTCTCACTGGAGTTAGGTGATATCTCATTGTGATTTTGATTTGCATTTCCCTGATAATGAGAACATCTTTTCATATGTTTCCTGGCGATTAGTCTATCTTCTTTTGAAATGTTTCTGTTCATGTCCTTTGCCCACTTTTTAATTGGGTTATTTATTTTCTTGTTACTGAGTTTTAAGTGTTCTCTGTATATTTAGGATAACAGATCTTTTTCAAATTTGTCTTTTGCAAATATTTTCTCCCCTTCAGTATGGTTTATCTTCTCTGTCTCTCATACTATATGGTTTATCCTCTTAGTGGTGTCTTTCACAAAGCAGAAGTTCTTAATTTTAATGAGGCCAAGCTTATCAATTATTTCTTTCTTATATCATGCTTTTGGTGTTGTATCTAAAAAAAGTCATCATCAAACCGAAGGTCATCCTGATTTTCTCCTGTGTTATCTTTTAGGAGTGTGATAGCTTTGTGTTTTACATGTAGGTCTATGATAGATTTTGAATTAAACTTTGTAAAGGATATAAGGTCTCGGTATAGATCCATTGTTTTATGTGTAGATATCCAGTTATTTCAGCCCCATTTGTTGAAAAGACTATCTTTTCTCCATTGTACTGCCTTGTTCTTTTGTATATTTGTATGGTCTGTTTCTGAGCTCTGTAGTCTGTTCCACTGATTTGTCTGTTCTTTTGTGCCAGTGCCACAGTCCTGATTATTATAGTTTTATGGTAAGTCTTGAAGTCAAATAGTGTTACTTATTCAACTTTGTTCTTTTTCTTCAATATTGTGTTGACTATTCTCTGTCTTTTGCTTCTCCATATAAACTTTAGAATCAATTTTTCAATACCCACTTGGTGGGATTTTGACTGGGATTATGTTGAATCTATAGACAAAGTTGAGAAGAATTGACATCTTGATAATGTTGAATCTTTATATCCATGAACATGTAATAGCTCTTCATTTATTTGGTTCTTTGATTTAGTTCATTGAATTTTGTTAGATATCTTTTTTTAACTTCATTATTATAACTTAATATGTTACATGTTGCCTCAGTTACAACTGTTTGAGATTTTTCTTATTTTTGTTTTTGTTTTGTTTTTGAAAATAACAGCCTTTGTGGTAGTATTCTTGGATATATCCGGACAGAAATAATGAGAGCTGCTTTCCCAGAAATTCCATTGCATCTCAATGGCTTGAGTTAGCTCATATGCCCATCCCTAAATCAGTCATAGGGGCTAGAGTAAAACTTTCATCAAGTCACCAGCTTTATTTCTGAGCCAACCCATATAGTGAAGAATGGGTTGTTTAGAGGGAAAACAAAGTATGATTACCAAAAGAAAAATGAATAACTGCTGGAAAGCAAAAATGATAAGTACTATTCTACATGTTTTATCAAAAGCACACTGGTGTTTCAAACTCATATGAACAAATTCACCACATTCCATCTCAAATAACAGTTAGACCTAGAATGTGATACCTTGAATATTGTTCTCAAAAGAAATCTGTTCCCTAAATTCCTTCAGTTTTCGTTTATTCTGTAACACATTTGCAATCTAGCTTGACCTTAACTACTTTGATGAACTGCTGTTGGCCTTTTCTCAGTCTTTATAATCTTTAATCCTTTTCCTTGATAACAACAGCCACTGTCTCTTTGAAAATTTCCTCTATAATGGTTGTACATTGCTGTACTAGTCTGACTTTTCTATCTCTCTCAGGGCTTCTTCTATCTTCAGGAGCTTCTCTTCTTACCTTCAACATGTACATGTGCTTCAAGTTCTTTTTATGGGTCCATTCTTTTCTTTTTCAACATTTTCTGTTTCTGCAATTATCTCTTTTCCCACAAGTTTAATTTTTACCTCTTTATGCATATGGTTCTCAAGTCACTCTCTTTATAATCTTCCCATATTAATATCTACTCTTTCACTTTAACTCTAGATCTTTATTTCTAACTGGCTGCTGGGCATGGCTACCAATATGTATAATATCATTATATATAAAACTTGAACTCATTTTCCCCTCCAAGTATACTTCCTGTTTTTTGTTATTTAACACAATATGTTCTCCCCCTAGTAACCAAGGTAGATAGAATATTGGCATCATCTCTTAAGCTATCTCTCATTTACTGTGAACATTCATTCAATTG